CATGTCATAAAACAGTATAATAGTAAGAGACCGTTATAGAAGCAAAGTTTGGTTAATTAAAGCTTATTTAAAAGAAGGAAACAAGACTTAAAAAATCCAAAATTTCGAACACAAAATGGCTTCCCGAATTTTTATTAAATTAGTAAATAAAGTTTACGTCGTTAAAAAGCCGATTAAAATGCACACACATGCAAAAGAATCCGATTATCCGAATGTCTTTGAAATCTTTAACATATCTGGAACATAAAGAGGGAAACTATTTCCATCATCTAGTATACATAGTAAATATAGTTTAGATTAAAATTTAATCGAAAAACTCGACTTAAAAAGGCTCGAAAAAGACGAAAAACAAACTCGGCCAAAATCTCAACATTTAAACGAAAAAAAAACTCTTTAAAATGACAGCTAAATACATGAACTCGTACTTAAAACAAGCACATACTAAAGAGGTTGAGAAAATAGGGATAAATAGCTACAAAGTATTGTTGAATTTCAACGATTCTGCTTGGAATATTAACAAACATTCTGCACATTTAAAAAATCGCCTGTCACTTTCATGTTCAAAACTACGAGCAAAGTTGAGAAAACTTAAAATTTTTACCGCATGTGTCAGCAGTTTCCAAGAGTCTTTGTTTGTGTGTAATCCAGAACCAAAATTAGGCCATTTTGATAAGCTTTTTCCCTTTAAATACAGCTTTTAATGCTTAAAAACGGCCATTGACTCTCGCGCCCTTCGCCGCTGTTGCTACTAGTAGGCTATCACTAATAGCCTACCAGTAGCGTAGCCAATCAGAACGCACGATACATGATAGCCTACTAGTAGGTTTATACTAATTACGATTGGTTAGTTGCACAAACAACAAAGGTGATTGGTGCATTCAAACTATTCAACAGGAAGTTTACAATTATACTAGGAAGTGTATGAATATTTCCAGAAACTTGATCAAATGAATTGGTCAGCCCGAGGTAATGTATTGAATCAATGTTTGAGGAACACTTCAATTGGAACGACAGTAACTAAGGCCCCAGGAAAAATTGTCCCCTTTGACAGCACCTATAGTTTCAACTATCTGTGACGGCATAGTTTCATAATCACATACTTGCAAGAAAGAGATATTTTCGTATTGGCAAATGAGAAGCAGCTTAGACAGCTTAGCACTGACAAACCTCTAGGAGTTCCAAGGGCATGCACCCACAGAAAATTTTGTAATCTATGCTCTCTAAAAGGGAATTTTATGCAATGTGCGGAGACAATTTCTATAGAATTCTGAAGATTACACACTAATTACAAAAAGATAAGTATCACTCACTTTATCATCTAGGCTCATATTTAAGGGACCTCTGGTGCGAGACTTTGTTCATCTGATGAACCTGAAGTATAATATTAGTGCACGTTCGATAATTTGGCAGCTATCATTTCAATTTCATTCAAATTATTCTCATTCAAAATTTAATTTAATTTAATTTAATTGCTTTTCCATCATTTTGTGATATAGACATAAACACATACGCACCCACACAACGCAAACACAAACACAAATACAAACACACTAAACTGATGGCTGGGTAACCACAACCTGAAAAGCCAATTACTGTGGGCCCAAAATGTTTTGATTAATACTGTCAAGGAGTGTCAAGACGAATTTTTAGCTCAGTTCTTGAACTGCTCATTGCCTGATTTTCGTGTTAATTGTTAATTAACAATTTATCACAGCAAATTTTATCACTGCACATTTTACATTTTATCACTGTACATTTTAGTTTTATCACTGCACAAATTGGTTATCACTGCACACTAAAATTAGGTATGGGCGTGATTGATGACGAATCGCTTGTAAAAACGTGGACACATATTTGCTCGAGTTACGCTTCTGGTATAACTTCCTATTCTGTGATTTTGCTGAATGAAAACTCGTTCTGCGCCCGCGTACAATCTTTTACTAGTCAGCGACGCTTTTCAATAAGGGGAATTTCTCGAGTTACACGAGGCTATTTTCTAACTTTATTTGCATTTTACTCATTAGTTTCATCGGTGACCTATCTTCAAATTTTGACCACGAATTTATTTTGCGGTAAATTATATAAATTTCAATTTTTAAAAAAATCTGTAGTGGAAATTTCGCAATAAAATTTTCGCTTTTAAAAAAATCAGACACTACAGAATTTTTTTAAACTTTCACCACAGTTGCAGAGCATCATTCCCTATTGATATATGAAATAAAAAAGATAGGTCACCGACATCGTTTTTGAGATAGCGGCACATTTATGGGTTAAATTGGAAGGTTTTGTGCTGTCGTCATGTTGCCATGGTAACACTGACGTTGTCGAAATCTAGTTCGAAATTAAATATTCCTTAGGTGACCAATGTTGTCACCAAGTCGAAACGAATTCGCGTTCTGCACAAATAAGCCTGTTTTACGGAATTATTGGGTAAACAAGAATAACCGTAGGGAGCCACCCTCAAAAATCCAAGATGGCGGACAGTTCATTACTTTCAGTCAAAATATTTCAAGAATCAAGCAAGATATGAAACATAAATAACAAGATTTTGGAGATGATTTTAAACGTTCTTTAAAATGAAACAATAAAATTTTTTGTTGCCATTGTCCTTTAATATAAATAGAAATTCTATGGCGTGATACGTAATATGATCGCGGCGGTTTCACTTCCAAGCCAAGTTCACTTTTAGCACGAATTTATGTGATCCTGTCTTTAATAATATACCCTGTAGTCTTAGTACAGATCAGTGCTAAAAATAGGGCAAAGTAACGTATATATAAAGATAGAAAGAGATTAAAATATTCTAATTTTATATATACTTACAGTCCCATATTGTTATATACATATATATACAACCAGAAGCTGTATACCTAATACCCAAAATTGGTAATAACATTTAAGTAAATATACAGTATACTCAAATTAAATACCCATTAGATCCTGTATACCCAAAACCCCTTGGCCGACCCTAAATATGCACGAAAAAAATTATTCTGTTTGGTCTAAAAAATAAGCCAAGTTTCAACTATCCTTCCCTGTCATGTCATCTGGTTCAACTTTGATAACTGATCCCAGTTCTCTTGCATGGTACAAAATACCTAAACAATGAGAGATTTGAATGTACGGTTATTTGCTAATGTCAACTGTAACATCTAAGCGGACAAAGGATGAAACAAGAAATTTCCTATTTTTGAGGGTGGGAAAGGGTATTTTCGTGAGCCGTACGTGAATGGTCAATATTTGTTCGCGTGAAATGTGAAATGCTTGATTTTAGTGTCGTGAAATCTACAGCCGTGAGGCGTGATTGTTGATAAAAATCCTCCGTGAAATGAGAATTAAGGATGTCTGTTTCGTGAACTGTGATTTTGCTTTGTTTATTTCGATCTATTTTATAATAGTCATAATAAACATGATATGCGATAACCAAATTTATATGATCTCACTCGATTGCACAAGAGTAAAAACTTCGGAGGCATTTCGCGAGGTTTCTGACGCTGAGGACAAGGTTCCTGACGCTGAGGACAAGGTTCCTGACGCTGAGGACAAGGTTCCTGACGCTGAGGACAAGGTTTCTGACGCTGAGGACAAGGTTCCTGACGCTGAGGACAAGGTTCCTGACGCTGAGGACAAGGTTCCTGACGCTGAGGACACTCGCGGAGGTCGTCGTACATGCTCGTGACTCAAACTTGTAAGTTATGATGTAGTTTTTAACTGACAGGTAGAGAAGTGAGAGAACTTAAAGCGTAGATACTGTACCATGCATTAAACATACTCTTAATAAACCTATTATTATTATAATTTTTTATTAGAATCTAGTTTTCCGTGAAATTGCTTTTTTAAGACACGTGAATCGTGAAACGGCTTTTTTTGTCGTTATGAAGTTACGTGATCCATAC